CTGGTAAGCACAAGTTGGACAGTTCAATCGCCATGGAAGAAAGATGTCTTCTTCTTCCAGAAAGATCCAAAGCTTTGAAAACACACAGAGCAGTTCTACTCCGCCCTCTAGGGCTGCGATGAGTCGGCATCAACTCAATTGTTTCTGTGGAGTTTCAGAGCTGTCTAAAGTGAAGAAGAGCTCAAGAAAATCTGATCAAGATTTAGGCAAGGTTGTATTATGCACTCTCCAGATAACGCATAGTTCACGCATGATTCGGAAGTTCAAGCAAGGTAGCAGTCTCTACTCTACTTTCCAAATAACACAGAGTTCAAGCAGAGAGCTGGTTAAGCAGCGTAAGCAGGAGAGTGATGACGTGGTTGAGATTGGTGGTGGCAAAACAGAAGTGCTGAGGATGCTTCAGGCTGTAGTCCAATGAACATTTTATTTTTAAAAGAAATTGCTCCTTTACCAAAGATTTGGATTTCTTTTGTTTCTGATACAGGACTTCAAGAGACAGATTATTTATTTCCATTTTAATTCATTCACTAATTATGATAGCAATGATGCTTCCCACCCTAAAGATTTAGACCCGCATCAGCAACCACGGATCTATGTCCATCTTATACTTACTGCGCTGGACCACCCTAGCTAAATCTTTGGAAACTGGAATAAGGGTCTCGGGCAGGGTCATCCTTGGATACTAAAACGGTGATGTAAAAATTGCTAGGCATAGATAGTAATACTTGCACAGTGCCTACATGTCACCCCACGGATTGCTTGCTATTATGGACTGAATTGTGTCCCCCAGAAGTTTTGTTGATGCCTTAACCCTGGTACCTGTTTTGAAATAAGGAACTTTCTTTTGCAATGTCTATGAAGTCATACCAGAGCGGGAGGGGCCTAAGCCTTCTGAGGGATGGCCCCTAACAAAGCAGAACAGACACCGACATGCATCAGGGGAAGATTTCTGACGACAGAGCCATCCACAAGTTCAGCTACCTAACAGCCAGGGGCATCCCTTATGCCTCAGGGGATGCTTTGTTAAATGTTTTAAAAAGTTAACCAGAGACATATATAAACCAGACACATAATGGATTTTATGCTCATGTGAAGTCTACCCCAGTCAAAGAACAATGAATTCTTATGACATGGTCTTATTGGATACTCGCTCTCATGAAGAGATCACTGAAGATATGGGTGCTATAGCAAAGTGAGGTAAAGAAATCAGATCGTGCCCAGCTGTGAGAAAGAACAGCCTCTGGGGTCTTAAAGTCTTGTTTGAAAACAGTGGTTCTCAACCTTCCTAATGCTACAACCCTTTAATACACTTCCTCATGTTGTGGTGACCCCCCAACCATAAAATAATGTTCGCTGCTACCTCATAACTGTAATACTGTTATGAATCGTAATGTAAATACCTGATATGCAGGATGTATTTTCATTGTTACAAACTGAACATAAGTAAACAATTAAAGCATAATGATGAATCACAAAACAATATGTAATTATATATTGTGAAATATTTATGTTTTCTGATGGTCTTAGACAAACCCTCTGAAAGGGTTCCTTGACCCCCAAAGAGGTCGCGATCCACAGGTTGAGAACCAGTTTTAAAACAAGCAGCCATCTAAGTGAGGCATCAACTAAGTCCGCATGGAAGAAGCACACCAGCCTGTGTAATCCAAAGACTGTAAATGATAAAATCCAAATCCAAAAGGGAACATATTAGTACTTAAATTGTGAAGACCCAGTTTGTAGAAGGCCCAAATCCATTTACAGGGTCCCCACATGGATTAAGCGCCAGTGAATTCCCTGTGACCACAGTCCAGGGGTCTGAATCGCCTTGCTATCAAACAGAGAGCATTGGAAAGCTGATTCTGGAAGATCCAGTTAGGTTTCAGTTTTCACTATTTTCTGATTTCTATTGAGATTTTTCTGTTTGGTCTAGTCATTGTTGATTTTTTTGTTTGCTCTCTGTTTGAGTTTTGTATGATTTTCTGTTTATGAAATCCAGGACAGATAAATCTATAGAGACAGGGCATGGTGGGGCATGGTGTGGGGGGCAGGGAGCTGAAACAATGTGTCCCAGAATACATGCTGAAATTGGTTGGAGGGCTGGCTCTGCAAGTCTTCTTAATATGACTGAATGATATGATATGAGAAAACTATTTTTTTAAAGGTGACAAAGAAGTACCTAAGTTCATGATTACAAATGGAAAAATAGGGACAGAAACCATGTGTTGACAGTTTTTCCATTTTTATTGGTGTGTGAATTTTTTATATAGTTACGGGGACTCCAAGCATTAATGCATAGCAAAATGTTTCGGTAAACACGTTTCAGCAGTTTACCTTTTTTTTTTTTTAAACATTTTATTAGGGGTTCATACAACTCTTATCACAATCCATACACACATCAATTGTGTAAAGCGCATTTGTACTTCATTCTCAAAACATTTTCTCTCCACTTAAACCCCCGGCATTAGGTCCTCATTTTTCCCCTCCCTCCCCTCTCCCCCCTCCCTCATAAGCCCTTGATAGTTTATAAATTGTCATTTTGTCATATCTTGCCCTGTCAGACGTCTCCCTTTTTAACAGTTATAAATACACCTGTTCAATTTTTCTGGACAGTGCCAGCATTTGGATTTTTATAAAACAAGTAAATTTCTTGTTGACGGCAACTAAATGGTGTTTGTAGCTCTTTATCATACAGTAGATTTCATCCATTCACTATACTTTTGAGTTGCCTTATATGCAGGTACATGTGTTTAATGCTGTCTTCTGTGCTGTTCCTGTAAGTGCACTCCTGAAATACATCAAACTATGAAAAGAAAAACAAAAACTAAATGGAACTCTTGATTAGCATAGGCCACCTCACCAAATTACCATCAACATGTAAGCTACAATCCCCAAACCATCTCCATTGCCTAAGGAGGGTCATACTTAAATATCAGGTCTCTTTTTTGAACCTGCCCACAGCAAGTCGGGTAAGCAACTTCCCCACCTAATGTGGATGTTATTTTGTTGAGCAGCTACACAAACTCTGGAAAGCCGTTCAGACAAATTAAAACCAAGGACAGTTTTTGTAATGATCAAGATAATACTTTTACTTCGTCTTTCTTCATTTTTCACCCGATTATTTTTTAAGTATGAAGGCCTTTATCTTTTTATTTTGTTTTTTTTTTTTTCATTTTTAAATTTCAATAAATCATTTTATTGGGGGGATCTTACAGCTCTATGATGATCCATATATCACTTGTATCAACCACATTTGTTATGACGGTCTTTTAGAAATGTAATGGGTCACAACAACATTGTCTCAAAGTCCTGAAATCCGCAAGTGTATGTTGAAGAGGCAATAGCTTAGTCGCAATCTCTGGGAAATGTTTGCACTTCTCCAAAGTTAATAGGGGTCTGATGTAATAAATGAATCTCTACAATGAGTCAGAGAAATCAAACTTCTGGTTTGGAAATTTATAGCAATTTAATGCACAAACAACACATTATCACAGTGAAAGGAACAGTAAAGCATTGCCCATTCTCCACTCAACAGCATGAAAAGGTTTTTGTTGTCGTACACTTAAAACTCTTTGAAATCCAATTACCTTGCTGGAAACTAAAAATTTTTAAAGTACCACACTGTACAGAGGAGACACACACAAACCCAGGACTGCAGACGAGCAAAATAACAGTGCACATGTCCAGAGCCTTCTAGAAATATCATCAAAGGTCCACTCATCAATTTATTTGATGTTCCATTTCAGACAAAATTGAACTTTTAAAAAATGTATAAACATAGAAATCCAAAAATAAAAGATCTCCTAAACATTAGCTTTCACTCTAAGTACAAATGGAATTTGGAAACGGCATTCACAATGCCATCTAAACTAGAGCTTAAGAAACTGTCGATGTATTTAGCTGGATCTTGGGGCTGAAATTCACTAGGCCAGCCCACATATCCTTTCCATCATATTAACTTTGGGGAAACGTAGTCTCAAAGAGAAACTGGTGGTACAGTTAAAATCAAACTACTATCTAGAAATACATGTCAATTTTCCTGAAGAAGAATGGAACGGATCCAATGTAACCATATCACGCGATAAATGCTTCATCATAAACTAGTTAAAGGGGTCTTCGTAAGACCCAGTCTAAGAGTTACGAATATTTTCATGTTAATCGTCAGTAATGGGTTTAAAGACTATTAAGTTTCCCTCACCCGCTGGCAACTGCGACCCTAGTCTCTATGGACATTCTATTCCCAAACCTAAAAGTGTGCTAAACAACTTCTTATAAATATATACATTCCACTTCCCCTGCATCAGAACAGAGGTCCATTAACTCAAGTCACATAGCTCATGGTTTTCATGAGAACTCAATTGTGCAAGAGTCTGAATCCATCCTAAAACTGATTATAAAATGACAGGGACAGGGAGAGACGGAGTTGAGTTGCACCTGACTCCCTCTAAGCATCTTAACACAAGGCTCTGTGTGTCCTGCCAGGCCCCTGCCTTGGCCTTAACCAATGTTTGGTACAACTCAATACAGTACGGCAAACGTCTCCAAACGTACGCTAAGGCATTTTATTGTTTCTGAGTTTTCATCACGGCCACAATCCACCCCTAATGGTTACATGATTAAATTCATCACAGTAGAATTTAAGAATGTGTAAAATTAGAAATTTTTTTTAAAAAGGAAGAAGAAGATCTTCACCACAGAGCCATTCATTGCGATGGAAGCTCAGGGCGAACCGGGGACGGGGCATGATGGAGCAATGTGCTCGCAAACACAAGCCCAGACAGAAGCACCCTCGGAGCCTTTCAGGGAAGACTTGGGTTTCCGTGAGCAACGACTGCTCCGTGGGAACTGCAGAGAAGGCTGGGGGAGAGGGTGTTCCCCAAAGAAAAAGGGCCACCTTCTGTCACACCGTTCACTTCGATGCACATTCGACATGCTGCACATTCCTGTTAGTGCTGGGGCCACAACAGGCATTTAGCTGAAGCCGCCCGGGGGAAGGAGTCTGAGTTCTCCACGCCCGAGGAGCAGGCCCCGTTGTGGAAGCAGCAAACCCCAGAGTGACAGTCACCTCGGGAGGAAACACCAGGAGACAACTGCGGGTGCTCTGACATGGGTGTGTGCACACGCACCATGCAGACAGGTGTGTCTTGCGGCAGTTCCCCTGGACTACACTCTCCACGATGACAAGAACTGCGATGGGTTCCCTCCTAACCTTCCCCAGCAACCTGCACCTCGGCCCACACCATCCCTGCTCCCTACATCTGTCAGCGGGGCGGAGCTACACCTTGTTCTAGAAGACTCAGTCCCCCAGGGTGCCAGCAAGCATTGCTCACGTGTTCGCATCTGGGCTAAAACCCAGGGCAGGGCGAGGGGCTCATGTCAACGTGATGACGGAAAATGGCGCACACAGATAGGGCCAGTGGTTTGGTTAACGTCCTGGACATGGGCTGTAAAAGAGATGAAGAAACGCATTCTCGATCACCTAACGGCTGGCACGGCCACGGGGGTCCGCCTGCCTGCTGTGCTACCCTACTAGGAGGAGGGGGCCATACAGTCGAGGAATTCATGGCAGACGCACTGGCAAAAGCCGTACACCATCAGGATAACAAGGCTCGAGGGGACGAGGCTGACGAAGACGACCCCCAGGGTGACTTTCTTCGACACCAGCAAGTAGATCCCCAAGGGCAGGGAGCTGAAGTACAGCAAGCCCAGCAGCCACACCAGCACCCGGATGGAGGTCTGGAAGAGCAGGGTGGTGCAGTTCCACACGGTCCAGTCGGGGGACACGGCGGCCACGGAGTCAAAGCTCGCTGGCCTGTAAAACTCCACCACGGGCGTGGAGCTGAGGGGCGGCGAGCTCTCGCGCTGCACCTCCATGATGGTGATGACCAGGCAGTTGGAGGAGGTGTGCGAAGGGCTCACCAGGGAGGCCAGTCTTTTGGGGGTCAGCAGCAGTTCCGTGGGGTTCTCCGGCAGGCCCTTCTTCCCTTTGCCTCCGCAGGTCAAGTTCACGAGGATGTTGCTGTCGTCCGGGAGGCTGCTGACCTCGTCATCCGGGAGGCAAGTCTCGAAGCGGCAGAAGGGGCACACGATGACGCCTTGTGGGGAGTCCCCAAAGTCGATGATCTTGTAGAGGCATTTGGCACACACGCGGTGGCAACAGCCCAGCACCTTGGGCTTCCTCTGTTTCAGGTTGTAGCGGTTGTAGCAGATCTTGCACTCCAGCTCGTCCGACACCGGTGGCTCGGCGGCGTCCTCTGGCGGCTGGCTGGCCATGTTGAGTTAGGCGAGAACCAGCTCCTACCAGACGTCTCTCTCTGAGGGATGGCTTAGACCAAGGAGCCCTGGGAAGGGCATGTCATCCAAACCCGGCAGCGATGGGGGAAGGCTGGGAAAGCACAGGCAGCAACCAGAAACCTGCCAGGCACCTTCAGCTTCTCCATCTCGCTCTCGCGGCCTCAGACACTTATGAAAAAAGGCCACATGATGGACCTGCCGAGAGAAAAAGGAGAGAGATTCCAATAGATGAACAGTTCATGGGAACAGTGTTTCTGGTCATTGTCTTGTGGAATGTGCTGGGCTCCACCTTTTGAAGCAATAGATGAGAGGTTAAAACCCCTTAATCCCTTCGGCCCGTCACACCTCTCTGCCCCCAGGGAGGGAGACTTATTTGCACTTGGGCACTTCCGTCCACAGGTAGGAGTTGGTAGGAGTCCGCAGGGGGCAGTCAGAGTCCCAAGGGAGGTGAAGTTCACTCTACAGCAAGCACGAGGAATGTTCTCGCTGAAACATGTAACCAACTCTGGACTCCTGTAAAACAGAATGAGAAACGCATCCAAGATAAATAGATTGAATTTTTCAGAGACCCCATTCGGTATAGAACAAGCAATTCCTAAGTATACTGGTGTCTAAAAGACCCTCAACAGCGTTTAAAACCAAACTCCGTGCCATCAAGTCCCTGCTGACTCATAGGGACCCCTGCAGGTTTCCAAGACTGTAACTGTGGAGGGTAGAAGAACAGCCAGTCTCTCTCCCGTTTCCCACTGCCGTTGTTCAGGGACGCCTTAAGGAAAGATGTTTTAAAATGTTTCTTCTCAAAGTATCGTACTAGAGATGAGAGTGTATTTCAGCAGAACGGGCCATTCTCACCTTCTCGATGTAAAGACATCTGTTATAAACACCTTTATTGTTTAAGGAACCCTGGTGGCACGGCGGTTAAAGCATTCGGCTGCCAACTGGAAGGTCAGCAGTGAGAACCCACTGGCCACTCCATGGAAGCAAGATGTGGAAGTCTGCTTCCAGAAGGATGTCGAGCCTCTGTTCTGCCCTCTAGGGGGTGCTGCGAGTCAGCAGCGACTCAAGGGCAGTGGGTTTGCGTCTGGGTTATGGTTTGAGCATTCAGTCTCACACTCTGTTTCCACATTCATCTGGGGAGCCGTTGTGACAGGTGTTCTGTGCCAACATAGCACCTGTAAGAAGATATGGGTGGAGTTTAACCTGTTAATCAGGTCAAAGGTTGATGACCTCCTTTGGAGGTGTGATGGAGAGAAAGGGCTCTCTGGAGGCTGGGCTCTCTCTCTCTCTCTCTCTCTCTCTCTCTCTGCCTTCACCTTCCTGTTGATGAGCCACGCCGATACCTGCACAAGCCCTGTGATGTTTCCTCCACCACTGATCCACACGACTCTGCACTCACCTGCCTGTGATCTTCCTGCGTGCGTCTGAAGAGGGATTTATGGACTGGTATCAGAATTATGGACTTGATCTGGACTGGGCTGGGGTGTTTGCTTGTTACATAATCACTTCTTGATAGAGCACTCTCTCGTCCACATCTATGCGTGTCACTGGATTTGGTCAACCCAGCCTAACACACCACACTTGGACACATACACTCACTCCAGGGAAAAGGAAGCATGGGTAACACCAAAGCCAAGTATTACAGGCAAGTCAAGTCAATTCCCAAGAAAGGGGAGCGAACCCAGGTGACACATATGCGGTTATTTGTCTACGCATAGGAATCACCCAGGCCGGCTTGTCAGGAAACGCTCCACAGCTCATTGCCATCAAAATCCGTGCCAGGTGGGTTCAGACCTCCTAGCTTTAGGTTGGTAGTCAAGCCCAGGAGAAGCACCCAGCCTGCATGCCCTCCCAAATCCAGGTGGACCGAAGCAGATAATACTATTAGAATGATTAGCAGCAATTGGCTCCAATTTCTATCAGAAAGGACTATGCAGGGGAGGCGACAGGAGACAAGAGACTTCAGAAATCATCCCTACATACTCAATGAGGAGACGCTCCCAAAATGGAAGAGAGGGGGAAAATCACATTCTATGTCGGCCTCTCACAGTCAGCTGGGCTCCCCAATGCCCTCTGCACCAAGGTTCCAGCCACTACAAGAAGAGTACCAGGGATGGTCTCTGCTGGACTGGCCAGGCCCTAGCTTATAGAATTCGGGGAAGAGTAATATGTCTGCTCTGGCAACATCAAGCTAATATTTGAAACAAGACTCTCCTTTTCCACCGAAATACTCTATCAGGCCTTTGAATTGTTGAGATACAGTGATAAGTGGTCATAATGTTATTTATAAATAGGGGGTTTCCAGCTCAGCGGCAAAGAAACTGCTCCATGCTCAGGTACCTCGTGAAGGAGACACCTACTTTAATTCCAAGACCAGCTTCAGCCGCCGCCTCCCTCAGGATGAAATGTTTCCTCCGGTCCCTGCACAAAGAGGGGCATTTCTGGGGGCTGGGGGTGGGGTGCTGGCTGGCAGTCTGGGACTCTGGAAGCAGCCCTGGAATTGCAGCCAGTCCAAGTCTTTCCTTCCTTGCTGAGTGGCACACAAGAGCAGGCTGATTTGGGGGAAGCTGGCGACCGACCACCAGAAGCCTCAGAAATAAACACTTCGTCTGTCTCAGGGTGAGGCTAACAAGGTCCCTTGAAGGATGAGAGAAAAATAATAAGCCAAAGCCTCTCATTTCATATGAAGGGTTCCTTACAATTACTCAGAGATGCTGTTCAGGCTTCTAAAGAGACTCGATGCCACCCCACTCCCATCCTGTCCAAAACTGTGGACCACAAACAGGGCGTGGAGGAAAAGAGGCAAACCCAAAAGAATATGTGCCGTGTGATTCCAGGAATATAAAGAGGAAAAGCAGGCAAACCTAGGCGACAAAACTACAGAGAAATATACTAGGAAGCAATTACCCAAACAGCAGGCTCCCTCCCAGCTGCTCTGAGGGAGAGGGAGTCGGCATGATGGTGCAAGGGCCTGAAGCAAGCTTCTGAAATGCTCCTCACGTCCTGCTCCGTGACCTGGCTGGGAGTAAGGAGAGTCCATTTTGGGTCTTACTATTCCAGCAGTATTTTTCCCCCCTGCACTAGTGGTCTAGTGCACAATTTTAAAAAAGGAGTTTTGGGGTTTTTTAAATCTGTCGTTAAAAAATTTAAGGTAACCTCGTGGGTCCCTAACTGCAAGGCCTTGGGATAACGATGCAGCTGTCTGCTCCCATACAGACCTACAATCATGAAAGCCCTGTGTGTGCACAGGGTCCCTCTGAGTCGGAATTGACTAGCTGGCAGTGGGTTTGTTTGGCAACACTGAGCTATTCTTTAAAGCAGTAGTAGTATACTTCACAGTAAAAAAAATTTTTTTTCTAGCTCAGACTTCCCTTCCAGTGGATTTTTTGGAACTTTTTATTATGAATGAGCTGAGGGTTTACCAAGCGGGTCATGGTTGGACGCTCAACAATTCACATGCATTCTGACTCATCCTGTCGGTGATCCCTGCAATGTGCCTTCCCTTCTCCCACGGGCTCCCTGAGTCTCCACCCCTCCTTCTTTCCTGACCCTCTGAACTTTGTCCCTGGGTAAATTCTGCCCTTTTGATCTCAAATGGTCGATTATCCTCACCCAGAGGTGAGCTAAGTCCCAGGCCCAAGGGGAAGGGGCCATAGTTTGGGGGGCCCTGCCAGGCTCTATCCAACAGTATGCCTGGTCCCCTCTATAATGCCGAGGTCCGTTCCACATTCTTCTTCCAGTCTGGCCTGAACCTTCTAATGGGATCCTCTCAGAGCAGCTAGTGATGGTGGGAGCTGGGGCAATGTGTATATTGAATCACCTTAAATTTTTTTTCTTATATAAGCTAGATGTCACTAATATTACACACACACACACATTGAAAATATGAGTCACCCTCTACTGTAGGGATGACATATTGGGCTGTTAACCTCTAGGTCAGCAGTTCAAAACCACTAGCCTCTCCTCGGGAGAGAGACAAGATATTCTACTCCCATAAACAGTTGCCGTCTTGAAAACCCCCAGAGGGCAGTTCTGCCCTGTCCTGCAGGGTCACTATGAGTCGGTACCGGCTCGACGGCAGTGAGGTTTTGAGTCTGCATCATTCAGGCACTGCAATAAGCCAACGGGAAAACAGACGGAATCTAAGGGAGCACGCTGGAGGGCTAACTCCCTGATGGGTAAGCTGCCCCCCCACCCCCTGCCCCGGAAGGGACCCTCCACAATGAAGTTGCATTAAAAATAAATACAAAGGTTTTCATTCCGTAGAGAAAATACCCGAGTAATTCCAATGTCTGAAGCTGGTATTCCTGACTAACCATTTCCGTTTCATTCTTCTCTAAACAAGCTGGGGTCAATAATGGATAAGCAATGAATTGCCTATCATCGATAAACTTGAGCTACTGCAGACTACTGAATTCAAAGTTCCTATGGCCTGAGGTATACCACTTCACTCGCTGGAGACTGAGGAAGCAAGCCTCGCCTGGGGAAGCAAACTAGAGTTCTGTTGTCGCCGTCTTCCTCAGATCACCATTCCTCTCCTTAGGTCTCATGCCTCCAACTGCCTCTTTGCTCCTGGGAGGTGTCCCCCTTCATTGAATTTACATGTCGGGGCTATGCTAATCAAATCAAAGAACCTACCTTCGGCTCAAAGGCTCAATATGTAACTCAGACACATCCCCCCTCCGGCCCCCACCCCCTGATCAAGTTGATTCTGACTCATAGTGATAATATCTTTATGGGAACAGAAGCCTCATCTTTCTTCCTCAGAGTGACGGGTGAGACCGAACTGCTGATCTTGTGGCTAACAATCCAGCACCTAACCCATTACCACCTCCCGGCTCCCCAAGAACTCCATCGTGCTCTTGCTCCCAAGCCCTTCCTCAGAACTTTTTCTATGAGTGGGGGAGGGGGAATGTCACACATGGGTCAGGAAAAAGGTGTCACAGAACCAGAAAAATGTGTATCCAGTAATTGTCAGTGGCCTAAAAAGAGAAGAGCAACACACAGCCAAGCCAGGGCTTAAGCAGAAAGAAAACGTGTTGAGAAGGATGATGGCAACATATGCACAAATGTGCTTGACACAATGGATGGATGGATTGTGATAAGAGCTGTATGAACCCCCAATAAAATGATTTAAAGAAAAAAGAAAAAACAGTCAAAAATATAAAGCGAAAGCAAGAAACGCTAGAGACAGAGATACAGACAGAAGCAGGAAGGCACACAGACATCGGATGAGTTTCTGGGTCTAATTCTACATAAAGGTTCCTGGGAGCCGATCAATTTCTCTTACCGAGGCTAGTTTTTGCTTTGGATTTCCGTGACGTCCAACCCCAAAGCCCTCACAAACGCTAAGTCATCCCGCTGTATTTGACTTTGTTCATTGATCGTTCTTACAGATAGAGTCACTGGATAGTGCGAACAGTCTGCTTGGCTGTTAACAAGAAGTTAACAGTCCACCTAGAAGTTAGCCCTAAAAACTTGGCGGTCTACTAGCAAAGAGTCCGCCATTGCAAATCCAATGGAGTGGAGCCTTACTCTAACATGCATGGCTCTGTGATGAGTTGGAAGTGGTTAGGTTCTCCATTGTATCACTGAAACTTTAAATAAGTAATAAAGCACAACCACCATGACCAACAGGGGTTCTTTGCTTTTTCAATGCCTTCATTTGCACCTGTGAGAGCACCCACTCAGTATTCATTTACATGCATAATGCACAAAATGCCTCGCTGCTACTGTTAGTTGCTGTAGCCTTGGCCTTGACTAATGGCCAACAGACGTGGTCCTGTGCCATCATCATGACTGTTGGTATGTTTGGGACCATTGTTGTGGCTCTTGTGTCAGAGAACCTCACTGCGGGTGTCTTTCCTTCTTGATGATCCACTACTTGAGCACACGATGTCATTTTCTACCAATGGTTTTTCCTAAGACATAGCTGACGTAAGCAAGCCCAGGTCTCACGTTCTAGCATCTGAGGAACATGCTGGTTGCAGTTCTTCTAAAGTCCATCTACTTGTTCTTCTGGAAGTCTGTCATCTGTTCAAGATCATCTTCGGCACCGTGATTTGAATGCATGTTCTTCTTCTGTCTTCCTTGTACATTACCCAGCTTTCACGAGATGCAAGGAAACAGAAAAGACCGTGGCTTGGGCCAAGCCCCTCAGGCATCAAAGTGGCACCATTACTTTTCACAACATTACAGAAGTCTTTTGAAGCAGATTTGTCCGAGCAGCAAGTCGCATGATTTCATGTCGGCTGCTTCCCCGACATCGATTGTTGATACAAGTAGGATGAACTTGTTGACAACAATTTTGTCTCCATTTATCAGTTATGATGTTGTTGGTCCGGGAACCCTGGTAGTGTAGTAGGCTATGATTGGGCTGCTAACCACCGCTCAGCAGTACAAAACTACCAGCCGCTGTGCCAGAGAAAGACAGGCTTACTCCCCTTAGGAGTGATGGTCTCCAAAGCCCACAGGGAAGTTCCCCCCTGTTGATGGCAGTAAGTGAGATGCTGACTGTCGGTCCAGCTGTAAAGATTTTCATTCCCTTCACGGCCAGGTGTCCTTCACAGTGAAGGCTGCAGTGGGTGCAGTTTCTCCAGTTCTTGGCTCAGCATGCACCTTGTCTGGGTGTAAACCATGTAACCCTTTCTTCTGTTTGAATGACTGCCGTTTGACCCACATACAACTAAATACTGTGTCATCCTTAGTCTTTGCAGTGTCCGTCCTAATCTGCTATGACCCACCCATTCAACCACCTTTGTGTAGTCAGTAAAATAACAGGTAAACCTCTTTCTGGTATGCTCTGCTTTCAACTAAGATCCATCCACTGTCATCAGCGACACACCCTACTCTTCCACCTCCTCTTCTGAATCTAACTTGAACTGTAGCAGTTCTCTGTTGGGGTGTGGCTGCATTTGCTTCCTTAGCAAAGATAATGCAAAGTCATCATATATGTGGTGTGTGTGTGTGTGTGTGTGTGTGTGTGTGTGTGTGTTCTCGTTTAGCTGGTTCTTCTCAATGAGTCGCCGTCCCCCACTCATGTCAGCCTGAATGCAATCTGCCACTTCCAACAACCTGCCCACGTTACGTGCCAGCTATGTCTTCTTCCATATCTTTCTACATATGCAATATAAGCACTTTTCCTCATGGCTACTATTTACTGGCATTGTTTAATAACTTCCATGAATCAAAACATGTTGTTCTTATACAGTCATTTGCTTATCGTTTTCTCTTATAATTTCTTGGTCTCCATTCTTAGTTATTACTAATATGAGCATTTTACAGGCAGTTATTTTCTTATAAGAATTGTCTTTATTTATAGAGGTCTAAATACAGGGATGTACATATGTAAATATATTTATATATGATGATGGGGAAATAGATCTATGTGCATATATTTATAAGTTTAGTATTAAGGTAGCAGATGGACATTGGACCTCTACTCAAGTACTCCCTCAATGCAAGAACACTTTGTTCTATTAAAACGGCATTCCATGATGCTCACCTTCCTGATCCAATCGCTGAATACAAAGCGGGTGCATAAGCAAATGTGGTGAAGAAAGCTGATGGTGCCCGGCTATCAAAAGATATAGGGTCTGGGGTCTTAAAGGCTTGAAGGTAAACAAGTGGCCATCTAGCTCAGAAGCAAAAAAGCCCACATGGAAGAAGCACACCAGCCTGTATGATCACGAAATATCAAATGGATCAGGTATCAGGCATCATCAGAACAAAAAATCATATCATTGTGAATGAGGGGCAGTGCAGAGTGCCCATCTGTAGGCCACTGGACATCCCCTTACAGAACAGTCACCGGGAGAAGATGAGACAGAGTGCAGTGTAGCAATGATGAAACATAAAACTTTCCTCTAGTTCTTTAATGTTTCCTCCCCACCCCCCCATCATGATCCCATTTCTACCTTACAAGTCCAACTAGACCAGAGGATGTACACTGGTACAGATAATATCTG